AAAATGAAATTTATTATTTTAAACTAATAAATGTAAAATTTGAGGGAAAATTTGGCAAATAGTATTTTTGATATTGATGTGTTATTTTCATTTTCATTCTCTCTTGTACAGATGTTCATTAGAGGAAGAGCAACAGATTGTTCATGCTCAACAAAAATGGATTTAGAGTAAAATGGTTGTGTTTACAAATATAAATCAACAGTGTGAATTATGCCATTTTCTTTGGTTGGTTGTCATAGCATTCTTAAGATATTGTGATTTTCAGTAAACGTACTTATATACTGTCAAATATATTATTATTATTGTAATAATATATCAATAATATTTCTATTTGTTCATGTCAAGTAAGATAGATGTAAAACAGAATGTTAAGGAATCATGCCATTCATAGTAATAATAAAAAATTAAAAAAAAAAATAGCATGTTAAAGTTACAGCACCAAATCATCACAAAGTAAATTTGCAGGTAAGAAAACAAAGTCATTTCACATGAAGTTCAAAATAAATAGTAAGCTGTTTGTCTGTGTATATAAATATATATATATATGGAGAGGGTGGGACACCACTAGCTTAATCCACGTGTCATTCCAAGAGTGGCCGGTAGAATACGTATCCCCTTCTCAATTATATGGTGGGAGTACATATACGATGAGCACAGTACATACTGCACGATCGCAAAGTGCCACCTAGGATTGGAAAGGCACCCGGGCAGTTCGGACATGCGTGCCCGTTGCCAGGAGACCTTTTTCCCTTTTTCTTTTTTTGGACTTCAGTTGCAGAACAACCCAACAACGTCAAGAAAATTCTCTCAACAGATTGCTGGGCAATATTTCTTGTATTGTTATTTGTGTTGTTTATTTGTTTATTTAGTTAGTTATATAAACACCCAGCAGTTGAAGAGCTGATTGTAATTTGTCCTTTCAGTTATTCAATCATTATTTGAAAGTTTGTCAACTAGGAAATTCTGGTGCAATGTTGTATTCTCTCAAGTACCCAGTTATTTGATTTAGCAGCACATATCTTATTCAAAATAATCGAGCCTTCGAGGGTTCTTTTTTTCATTGATGATACCAAATTAATAAATTAATATATAATCATTCAATAGGATGATGTGAAAACAGGGTTTTTCTTTATTTTTTATATTATAACGGTCTAGATTGTGTAAAAAATAAACCTGAAAGATTTTGTCATGATTTTATATATTTCCAAATTTATACATCATTCTTCTATTTCTCTAGCTCATACTTATTTGAATGGTTCCATAAACAATACATTACTTGGATCAATATAAAAAAATACCTAGATCTCATGTGTATTCAAATGCTCTTGAATACTGTCCTTTTAATTACTATTTCTTCAATTGCAGCTATTTGTTGTTATAGTTTTTATTACTATTCAACCATATTGTGGAAAGCAATGCTTGACTGTTAGATGTACTCACAGGACTTGTTCAGCCCATCATGGGCAATCCATGCCACTTATCTTGCTTTGGTCTTTCTTTCTTGCTTGCTTTCTCATTGTGTTAGACAAATGTACCATAGCTTGAGCAATTCATTTCAGCCCGTAACTTCCCCAATCATATCATCTACTTGCTGTAACAGTAATTAAGTAGGGAAAGGCACACCACCATAACTTAATCCCCACAAGGACCAAGGACTATTAAAGATAACCCAGCTCAACTAAGATGAAACCCTAACATGTTTCAAACCTTGATTTTGTTAAAAAGCAGTTGCTGACCATCAAAAGAAGACATTGTAGAGGCATAGTAATAATTATTCAACAGAATGCACTAAAACGTCTAATGAATATCAGGAGTTTCTCTCACGAATTTTTAAACTTGCAAATCAACAAAAATATTAAAATAGTAAACAAGTAAAGACCTGCAATCATGTGCATATTACAGGGGAAAAAAGTTATCATATTCTTGACTTGAAATGAAATATTTCTTGTTGTTTAAATATGGTAGAGCACATTTAGATAATTTGATGTGCCTAGAGAAGAATGGACACATATACAGACACATGTATGTGTATATATATATATATATATATATGTGTGTGTGTGTGTGTGTGTTCTCAACTGTTATTGTGTAAAATCCCATTCAGAATTTGAGGACATTAAAATTTTCTTTATAGCACATATTCAGAAATATTGGACTTACATCATATAATGTTGATTCAATATTAGTTCATTGTCTGATGGAAAATGGCACTGTAATCTACTGTGAGAAAAAAAATAATAAATAAATAAAATCATTTATGCATCAAATAACAAACAGATACATGGTAATCATGATTTGAATATGTAAACACTTCTCTTTTCTTTTCTTTTCTTTGAGAGCACAATTTGTTCATTTAATTAAACAAACTTAATCCATATTTTTTTTAGTTAAATTCTCTAACTCTCATATTACAGAACATGGATTGACAAATTATTTGTAGAATTGCATTACTTTCACATCTACCCTTGATATATTAATTTATTTATATTGAATTTTATTTACACTAAAATTGAAAAGGTCAATAGTTATAACATTATTGTAGGATTTCCCTCAGTCTATTAAACAAAGCCCATCCCCGCAAAATACAAAGCTCTGTTGCACCCAGATTTTGCAAGCATAAATTTCAGATTTGTTTGCCAAGCTGATATTCCTTTTGGGTAAGGGATCTGAAACAGAGACTGCATTCTTGTGTTGCTGCTTAAGGTCCCTTTTTGCTGTACAAGAGAAGGTTTAGGGTTCCTCTTCCCCCTGTTATTTTCTTTTTATCATTTCTCTTCTACAAGATTGGGCCATGTTCTTGAGCTCATTTCATATTCATCTCTTCTTTCTACACCTCAACCATGGAAACATTTGATGTGACCTCAACCTCAGCAGAAGCTATTCATTCAGGACTATGAGAAGACTTTGGTGTGGGCTGCCCAATCTCATAACTTGAGAATGCCAGCTCCCCTACAGTCCCAGTTATTGTGTTGGTTACCCAGTGTAACAGAAAGAATAACTGCACTTGCATTTACACCAACAAAGACTCTGGGTTGCTCTCCAGATACCTGGAAAACTGTCACCATGTCCAAGCCATGCTGGCATTGCCACCAAAAGGAATTTGAGGTCTTTTACAATCTGCAAACAAATATCGCATTCTTCTCTCCTTTGCAAAAGCTCACATTGTTTAGGGCTGGTTTGCAAGGTTGATTCAGAAGCAATGAAGGGTAAGATTTTACTTTCCTCCACATGTGAGTGAAGATGAGCCTTGTGCCCTATGCCTGTTTTTTTTTTAAATCAAAGTAATAACAAAGCTACACCTTTGGCCATTTTTAATATTTTAATTTTGAAATTGTGTTTTGATACATTGACAACATAACTCTCATTCTTGGGGCCATTATTGAATCCAACACACAAGTTGTGCTGCTCTGGAGCTGTTGAAGTGTAGTGACCCAGAACCATGATTTTGTAGTACATTGCTTGCATCCTTAGATAAATTTATCCATATGGTGCTTGGGGAGGAAACAAACATATCCAATATAAATGGTACCTACAAATCTGAAAAAGGACTGCTGATTATCCCTGCAAAAGGAATTGACAAGAGTCATAACTACAAAGGATCTTCCAATTTTGTAGGGTAGTGTGCTCAATTGAATCACTTCTCAGCAGCCTGACCAATGCAAGTGCCATTTATTTCAATGGACTGAGGAGCTACCGTCACTTCAGCAGAACGTACTTCAACCCCCATCCACATATCCAAAAACAATTTTAAAATAAGTAATAAAAGTAATAAAAATGAAAAAGAACAAAGGAAAATGGAAATCAGCAATTATATGGTCTCTGTTGTAGATTGTTTTGATGTTGGTTATAATTGAATTAGCCAATGTCATGGAACCAAAGAAAAACATTGTGACAACAACACATACAATCAATGACATAAGACACATGTGATCAATAGCTTATTTTACACAGAGCTCAAGTTTCAATGGCACAGATAATATTAGGTTCAATTTCTCAACTAGCCTGTTCATACACCATAAAGATTGATCCATTGTTTGGACAGGAGTATTCCATACTTGTGCCATGTAGACAGATCCAATGGATTATCATCCAAAGTATGTCACTTGAACAAAAAACATAACTATTGTTTTATAAATTTATTTCTAAGAGATGGAACTCTAATGTGTGTGGTAAGTAAGATTAGTAATGCAGTTGCAATATAAAATTTCAAATTTTATTGTTGGCAAGAGGCTCTGTGTGCATTTTGCCTACCCATGTTTGTGTATACTGTTTTGAGATAAAGTATTTGCACTCATCACACTCATCAATCTTGAACTATGAAGAAAAGCAGAATGCCTATAGTTTTGGATTTACCCAAATTCTTGATTTGAATGAACATCCACTATTTATTTTACTTTTTCATCCTTAATGGACTACTCAGGCCGAGGTAGTTTATCGTTGCCTGACAATCAACACCACAAACTGAATCTGAAGAGAACGACCCAGGAATCCGGGTGGGTAAAAAGAGGTTTGGATAATCATGCAGGGCAGATATTTCCCCTAAAGAATTCACCGCACTAAGCATTGTCAGTGCGCATCGAGCTTAGAAGAGCTTGAGCAAGCAGAAGATGGGGCCAAAGTTAGTTAGCGAGGCAAAGTTAGCGACACGAAACAAGGCGATGGAGTTGGAGGCGGGCGATGAGACCCGCGGGGGCAGCGGAGGCTGGAGGGTCGGTCATTGCAAGCTGCATGCATGCTGAGGAGGCACGTGCGGAGGCGTGGCGTGGCCTTGTGCGTGGGGATGAGGGGGAAGGCGATGAATGGGCAAGGTGAATGGGACTCCCCCCCTCGGGGATCCGGTTTCACCGCCTCGTCCCGCCTATGGCTGCACCGCTGCCAGGCTCATTCCAGTGGCGGCTTCCACGACGCATCATCACCGGCAATGAATGCTCGCCCTCTGCCAATTCCGCTTGCGATAACACAGCACGGCAGCGGCAACTACTCATGTATCTACTGGCACTTCCCCTATCCCGGGTACGGTTGTGTCAGAGCGCTGCTTTCTTCCTCCCCGGAGTGTCATGTCATGATGCTCCATGTCGGATTTGAATTCCATTCGCATTTGGTCATCCCTGGGGTTTCTGTTTCGACAGCTGAGGAAGTGTGGGAGCTTTTGAGACGTCGGGTGCATTACGGAGCGGGCGTCGCGGTGTCTGGAATGTGATGATTCGGAATGCGAAGTTTGTTTTGATTGTGGAGTAGCTTGTGGAAGGAAATCTGGCGTGATGCGCGAAAGATTTGGAAGATTAAGGCTAGTTGTGTAGTTGTAGGAGGTGGTGGCAGTAAAGAGGGCGGAGATGTGGAGAGGGACAGAGTGTGTGTGTGTGTGTGTGTGTGAGAGAGAGAGAGAGAGCGAGAGCGGAAATGGGAATTTAGGTGGTGGTGAAGTGGACGTGAAGATGATTCGTAGGATTCGTTTCTGACCTTGGCACTGAGCATACAGATATATTAGAAGTTCGACATGGAAGTCGAGTTGATTCTTCGTTTGCCGGCTCGGTTCCGGATGTGTCTCCAGAAGCACGAAGAGGATAAGCACAGAGGCGGTTCTGGCGTTTCTTTAACTGGGATGTAGTCTGCTTTGACGGGTGAAATGCTGAAAGCTAGGGGCTCGATTGCGCCTTGTTAGAGCCTTTGAAGTGAAGGAATGGAGCGAAGTTCTTCCATAATGACTCACCCTGCGAAGGTGGAGCCGGAGGGTTCCCTAAGTGAAATGATCAAAGAGGTTTTGCGACTTGTGCAGAAAGAAAGAGTTCTCTCCAAGAAACAGGCACGACCTTGGCTGACAATGTGATCAGAATGCTTTTTAATTTGTTTCAATGGAATCCAGTATTTCAGCGTAATCTATGCTTTCGTGCTGTCTGTAACTTTTTTATGCTTGCAATTCCGCAGTCGAGTCCTCGACTGCATGCGCAGCGCTTGCTTCTAATCGATTGAAGTTGTTTTCACTGCCTGATTTTCAAGAAATATCTTAGCGAGTTCTGAATGTATATGATTGCTGCTATGCGGCATAGCACTGTCAAGAAGAGTCTCGGGTATCTGTTCTCCTATTTTCAACTGCAGCTGTAGATTGCGGCATTGGTCTGGATCTTGTATTGAGACGTTTTTTTTTTTTTTTTTTTTTTTGAACTTTTTCTTTCTTCTTTCTTGCAGGCCGACTTTTGTGATGATGCCTGCGTGTTGCGCTATTTGAGAGCTCGTGGCAACAACGTCCGAAGAGCAGCAAGGATGCTGAGAGCCACTCTGAATTGGCGTGAGAAAATAAACATCGGTATTTTCCTCACCAGCATGCTTGTGTTAGCTTTGTTAGCTTTATCCGAGATTGAAGTTTGGTATGCTTTAGCTCAGACCGAGAGCTGGAGGTTTTTTCCGTTTTTTTTGTTTTAATCCCCTTGTTATTTGGCTACATTTTTTTAAATGAATTTTATTTGCAGGTTACTTGATTGCGGACGAATTTCCAGCGGAACTCGCGGCAGGAGCTGCGTATGTTGCAGGTCACGATGATGAAGGCCGGCCTGTATTGGTAAATCTATCTTCGTTATCACCTTGTGTGTAGGCTCTCGTAAGTTGAACCTTGAGTGAGTCATTTTGAAACTGGAAATTAGTTATTAGTTGCGGGAGACGCTTCAGTTCTGAAAATCGAATGTCTATATTTATGGTTGTTTTTTTTTTTTTTTTTTTTTTTGCCTTATCTCTCTCGAGTAAGAGCTGATCTGTGTGGGCAATCAAAATGTTCTCTCCTGACCAATATCTGTATTTCGTATTTATTTCTGCGTCATAAGTCACTTTAATGAAGGAGATTGTATTTTGTTAGCTTTCCATATAGTTGAGCTATCGGACGAGTCATGTACAGTCTTAATGCTCATAAACTTGAGCTTTCAGAATACTATGGTTGCTTGTTGTGGGAGTCACACAGTGTGCCTCAGCGGTTGCAGAAATTACTTCCACAGTCATCCTGAAGTTATTTCTGCTCCACATGTCTGGTATCAAATCGTAATCAGTAGTTTCTTACTGATTCGGTGCCATCCTGTCTAAATTTTATGCCATATGTTGCTCCGCGTTATCCTTAGTACATCGTTTGCTTTTAAGATGTTGTCCTTTATTTCGAGTGCAGGTAATAAAGAAGAAGCCAGATTATATTCTCAATAAAAGTTACAAAGAGTGAGTTAACCTCTTGAAATGCATTGATGCTGCTCATATCCCTAGGTCTGAGATTTTCAAGTGCTAGGGGCTACTCTACCAGAATAAATCATTTCTCATAAGTTGAGATGTGACCTAGTTTTATTGTTGCTATTAATTGTATGCTCTTTATCACAATCGCTTCATTATCAACAGAACGGTAGAGTAGAAATATGTAAACTTATATATTGGATTCGGTCCGTATTGTCCATAGATATCTTCGCCACATAATCTTCACAATGGAGGTCGCGGTTGCTGCCATGCCACCGGGAGTTGCCCAGTGGGTCCTCATCCTTGATGCTGGAGGTAAGTATTTTGCTCAGGCCTTCTGATATTCTATCTTTTCAATGAATGATTAGTCGTGTTATCATGTTAAGTTGTTGAGCTGTGGACGAAATGCTTTTGACGGTGTGCCTAACCCTGCGTGCCACCCACGTAGCTCGAATTTGTGGAAGTTTATGTTACCTTGTGGTCTCTTGTCAGGAATTTTGACTTGAAGTTGCTGGAAGTAGTCTCCCACGATCTTATTTAAAACATGTTCATCACGATTCACGTTGTTTTTGTCTTGGGCAGGCTACTCAAGATTAAGTGCACCTTCGACTAGTGGCATCCTCAGTACCCTGAAGATGCTTGCTGATCATTACCCTGAAAGACTTGCCAAAGCCTTTATTGTGGATGCTTCTTCTATGTTTTACTACTTTTGGAAGGTGAGATAAATCAGTCGTTTTTACAATAGAGGATATATATCAGCAAAGTTTAATGTTTGGCGTTATTAATTTTAAAAGTTCAGAATTTGTAATTTTATAAACTAGCTAAAGCCTTTCTGGTTGGGTTTGAGATGCCAGGGGATTTGCACTTTTGTTGACCACGCGACAAGAGACAAGTTAGTTTTTTCCTACTCTAGAGATTACCGGGCGATACCAAGGTCACCGCGTACCTCAAAGACTTCGTTCTTAACATCACCTTTTTCTAAGCGCACTCGAATGTCAACCAGCTTTTGTGCAGAGGATGTGAGATCCCCGGCTCCTTTCAGAACTAAATCAGGTTTGAGACTGAGCTCCGCTAAGTACTCTGGCGATATGTTGGATGAAAATATCAGTGATTGGTTAGACGCGAGATTATGTCACTCATGTGAGGGCACGGTGCTGTCTGAGAAAATCCACAGCTTGAATTAGAGTTGTACAGAATCTTCATAATCGCTGTTATTTGAGTCATATACATCTGAAATATTGTGGGACTAATTTGCTCACACTTTGTTGATTTTGCAGTGTCAGCAGACTATGCACTTCTGGATCCAATATTTGATGCTAGTCCAAAGAGTAGCGAGGACAAAAAGTCACCTAACATGCTGTTCGAGGGGCCGGAACTGGCATCAAGCTTGAGAAGAAGATCCTTTTCATTCTCGTCTGTGACTGGCCCTATCACCTGTGCATCACCTGATTTCAAAGATGACGAATTTTCGAGTTTTAGAAATGACGAAGAAATCTTCGACCAGTCCGAAATTTCAGGATCAGAGCCTGGACGAACAAATCGAGGTAAAGTCCCCTCGTGGGATGGATTGATTTCCATCTTCTACCCGCTGAAGAGAACTGATACAAGGGTAACCAGTGAAGTGAAACATAGAAATGTCGATACCTTCCGGCCCTACTTGAAGTTCCTTCAGGCCACTTATGACGAGTCTGCGTATAGAGCATTGATGAAGCCTCCGCTTGGAGGGCTGGCCACAATTATATCCAGAGATCTGAAACACATCAGCAGTCTTTGACCTTGATCTAGGTAAGGTTCATGATTTAGTCATTGTAAACATGCTTAGATTCCTAGACTCCATCCTTCGGCTGTTCAGGATCTCCCTAGCCCTTATGTACATTTATTCACGGTCACTAAAATCTTTCTTTAGCTAGGTGTGGTATTTTTCCATGAGGAAATGGTGAGGATTTTCGTTACATTCGAACTTCACCACTTGGCGTAAGAGATAAATCCCGTAAGGATCTAATCTTTTAAAGCTTTCATGTGTCTGGGTAACCTTCACTGTATTGATGTTCACATGCTCTCTGTTTGGTATCATGGAAATATTCAACCCTTACATTGCGTTTAGAAATCATGTTCGCTCATAAGACAGCCAAGCCGGTGTGAAACAAAATTGTCAACCGTGATCTTATTTGACGATGATGTCCTGATATTGATCAGCATCTTGTACTTGGAGTACTAGTTCTCCGCAGCCAATTCTGCTTAGTGTTGAGGCTTAATTTACGTGTCTGTATGAGAATGAACCACAGCCTTTCTATATTTTTTTGGCTTGTTACTTGTCATTCTAACATATCAATAGCAACAGATCGGTCCCAACGACTCAGTAATATTCATTATTTATTATTTGATGTCCAGATTTAGTTCTTCGTTGAAGGATTCGCAACTAAAGAAAAAAAATGGTTGGTTGATTTTCATTATGGTTATCACAATTTTCATCATGGTTACAATCATGGAAACAATATAATCTGCAGTTGCTAAAGGATACTTGTCTTCAAATTTTTTACCAAAGTTGCGACCAGCTTTGCTAGGAAATAAGTGAAGATGCTTTCTTTTGGAACAAGGTGGGAGAATATCTATCACTTGTGCTATCCCTTTTTTGACTCCTTATTCTAAGGGAACATTCCCTTTTATTTTAGAGAAAAAATTATAAGCATCTTTGTTGCACATGTTATACAATGGATATAATAGTATCTGGCAATTGAGAAGGGAGAGGCCTTCATCAAGTATGTACATCGGCTTAAGGCTCCAAAGTCTCGACCAAAATTAGTTTATTATTTTATTAAAACTTGTAAGAGAAGGTCAACCCAGGTTAAAACCACACTTGAAAAGGAGAACCTTCTAATATGTTCTACAAAAAAAACACAACAATTGTCCACACTACTTTTTCATTAATCTACAAAATCATTCTTAACTTACGGATCTACAATTACTATGCATCTAAGTAACAACTTACTAGTAGCAATTGTATCTACTAATCATTGCATAGAATCTAAAAAAACACAATATACAAAAGAATAAGAGATGAATGAAGCATCAAACCAATTGTGAGATTACAAAATCTTCTACATGCACATTTTGACAAAAAAAATCTAACAAAAGCTAGTAGGCTATAATTTCAATACAAACATTACATTAATCTTCATAATATTAGGCCATTGCTAATTCATTAATCAAAATCCTATGGTGTTTGTTAACATAAAATAATGTAATCTTATATTACAAAAGGATACAAATCCAAAACTATGTACAACACATATTAACACATGTACTTTATCTTGTCTTATATTACAATTCATTAATATCATGCCATTAAAAACCTAATTCAACATTCATTGTATAAGAACCTAGTGCAAGTATGGCTTTATATTAAAGATATGAATCTTGAAGAAAGAAATCCTCAATATACTCTTGTGTCATTGAAAAGAACTAAAAAGTCACTCAAGGTGATATAATATTGAACTAAAATGGCTATTGCTAAAAACAAGAAGATTAGAAAGTCTTGAAGCAAGACTAAAGACTAGAAAGGTATTGACAAGAGTGAAGAAGGCTTCACTCTTGCTTCCATATATACTCTTAATTAGGAGCTACATGGCGATTTCCTATAGGACCTCCAAAACATGTTGACTTTGTAAGATATGTATCTTAACTAGCAAGGCAAGTTTTCTATATGTACGCCACATAATTAGCTTGTTCCACAAGCTATCAACACGTGGTTAACTTATTGACCAAGTTTTCAACTTATCAATCAACTACAAATACATGTAAAGTCAAAATAGTGTTTAGAAAGATTCTAAGAAACTTTTCTAAAGAATATTATGAAATAAATCTATTTTTATCTACTTCTACTTAATCATGTAGATAAATATTAGAATAAATATGTATGTCCATGACATTATCTCGCCTTCTAGGAACGAGTTCCATGAGGAGTGGTCTTCATATGTTGAGGAAATTTAAGATGTAACAAATTGTATTTGTCATGTATTCTAATCTTTGTGTTTTATGAAGATGGTTGATAGATCCTCTCAACCATTGATAATGTTTCATATTAGGGAGGAAAGACAACCTTGTTATTTGATCATTGTTGAGGCCTTTGTAATAACCTTTAAATAAAACATTTAAAACACTATCAAGAAGTATTAATATCTCTAATAAAATCACCAAATATTGAAAGTCTCTTCCAAGGTTGTGATACCAAACACATTGTATTTTTCCATCTATTCAAGACAAGATATATTATTCTTGAGGATCTTCATTTCAATTATGTTGTCTTAAAGGTTGTGACAATTGCAATGTCTCATTTAATAAGTCAACAAATAAAAGTCCTTGAATTGAATCAATTGGTTGTTGGTTCTCCATCTTCTTAATATCACAAATATAAAGAAGCTACAAACAAAGATAGAAGATAGAATGCTATCTTTCTTAGATTTTATTTCTTTTATAGTAAAGATTTTTTATTTTTTATCTTAATGTTGGTAGATGTTGTCAATGAAAAGCTTGAGCTCTCTTTACTACATTTGCAAGATTCTTTATTGGCTCCCATGTGCATTTACTGATATCATATCTTCGCCAATGAATAAGATATTCCAATCTATTTTGGCGCTGCCTTAAATTTAAGACATCATTTACCTCAAACTCTAGATTGTTATTTACTTCTATAAGAAGAGGTGGTATTTTTCTTCTTTTCAAGATATTAATTGTCTTATATGGCTCATGAAGAGACACATAAAATATGGGATGGATCTTCAATGACTCCAATAAATGTAATCAATAAGCAACAAAATTGACTTGTTCATAAATAAATAAAGATCCAAGCCTACAATAGTCCAACTTGTCGCAAGGATGAATAGTCTTGATATTATGATGGAATAACTATATCTTGTCTTCTATATTAAATTGTGGTTGTTTTTTGTAATAGATATCTATATTATTCTTTATTTGTTTTTAAGCTCCCTTTAATTGTACCTTTATTGTTGAATATAACTTTGATAAATAATTTTTTAAATATTTTGCTATAGGATTATCAACTTTTAAAAAGTCAAAAGTATCAAGTTGTAGATGATAACCATAATTAGCAAAGAAAGGTGTTAGGAACCATATACAAGAGAAGTTACAAGGTCATTTTGGGATAAATTATAGATAGGTCCAAATGGTGGTTGAGCACCCTCTTGAAGGTCAATTGTACAATCATAAGGGTGATGCTTTAGCAAGATGTCAACAATTTTTTTTTTTCAAATACATCTACAAAATTCTTATATGCCTCCGGAATTATTGTTGTAGCAACTACATGTTCTAATTAAGGATTTGCATAGACAACAAATATAGTGCCTTGTTTTGCTATCCTTACAAATGTTCTAGTTCTAATAAAAAAATATTGTTTAAGTTTTGGCTTCTCAAGTGTTAGAAGTTTTTTCATAGATCTGAGGATTTTATGATCTATTAGAAAAAATTTTAACTTTCAAGACATCCAATTTATCTACGGATTGTATTTTTCAAGCCATGAGAGTCCTAAAATGATTGGACTTGATGGTGATCTAATGATATTGAATACTACTTGGCTGCTATGGTTGTCAAAGTTTATTTCTCATAGAATTGTATCATGAGTGATATCTCTAGAAAATAAAGGTTGACCATCTATTACTTCTACATGTATGGCTTTGGATTTTTTGACCATATTCATTTTGTGTGATTTAAAAAATCCTTTATTAATAAAACATATAAAGGCTTCCAAGACAAGTAATGCATGGTGCTTTAGTTTTATGATTCATAACTATACAAGTATAGTAAAACAATGGTGTCATGTTGTAACATGACTATATGGTGAAAATATAAATGAAAAAGATTTTATTAATATTTAGTCAACTTGGATGTTAGGAATAGTGGCTAATTCTAGTGCCAATATTCAGGGGCGAGTTAATGTCACCCCATTGCAAGCTATACTACTATACGTTACATCAACAATATGCTCCACCGGCGTCATCAAACCAAGTATCCTCCGTACCAACGGGACAATCAGGATCATTTTCTAACTCTATATGGAACAAGCCTAGTAGGTATATATCGGTGGAGACACCCAATATGCATGATGGGAGTGCAAGAAGACCACTTTGTTGTTTCCGTTGCAGACAGATTGGTCATTATGCTAGTGAATGTCTCAGTCCTAGAGCCAGTGATGATTACACACCAGTGTGTGGAAATTGCAAACAATTGGGGCATACTTATTAGCAATGTAATGCTTCGTTCAATTTCAATAATCGAGATCAGTAGATCCAAAGCCAAGAAAAAATTGAGGAGATAAATTGAGGTCCTTAAGATACTCTGATAAATCAAGTGGAATGTGTCCAAGCCGTTCTTACCAGGAGTCAACAAAAGGAGAAAGGACCAATTCAACATTTGGATGAGCCTAATCAAAGGGCCAATTTGACCCAATTATGGGGACATCTAATCCAAGTCCTGTTATGGGCCTCTTACCCAATATGAGACCTGACTCGATTGAGTAGCTCAATGAGGTTCCGATTATGGAGGCTTTGGTTCCATTTCAAGCTGTTCCAATTTCGAGTCTAGGGCGAAAGAATAGGGGATCTCACGGAGTTAAAGGAAAAGAGAAGAAAAGAAAGAGGGCATTCAAGAGATCGGGATTTTGGGATCGAAGAGCTAGCTTCAAACTCCTTCGAAAGGTGTAGGACTTGATTTTATAGGATTTGGGAGGACTTTGCAATCATTGTTCAAAATCAGTGTTTGTATTGGTAAATTGGATTTTTTTTGCAATAAAATTAAGACTAGTACTCTTGACTGTTTTATGAAATTAGAGAAACATCTACGGTTGAAATTTTAGAGATGTCTAGATGGTTGAGTATGCCAAGCGCATGCAAAAATTTGTATTAATCTAACGATATGGATAGAGGATATTTGATCATTAGTGTAAAGAGGTATCAGAAGTCAGCATATTGGAGTTGTTTAAGATTTCTGTAATATCTGAAGAT